GACTGATTTCAAATCACGCATTTTGGTCCAATGTAAATGTAATATTACGGCTCCTGTTAAGTCCTAACTTTTATGTTCGTTGGGTTAATACGTAAGGGTTAGCTAAAATCATGTTACGTAACCAGCTGGTTGTTGGCAAGAGCTCGAAGAAGTCCATCGCGGATGGGCACGTAATATTTACATTTAATTAATAAAAAGTAAAAATCTTCTCCAAACCCGGCAACAACAATGGCACTTTTTCAAATGAAGTGGCTGCGGCGTTGGGTGCGTCGCAACACAAACCCAATACCAGAGGATAGTGCAGAGCTTTGGAAGCGGCGTTTGAGTGTTGCGTATGCGCTACTCGCCTGGAACGCATTCGGTTTCGTTTGCTACATGGCCTACACCGGGCGTAACGATTGGGCCAAATATTATGGTTATAAAAGCGAAGAGGAGGCAAAGTTGTCACCTGCACAACAATTTGCAACAAAGCTGAACGTCGACAGAGGAAAAATTGTACGATTCTCAGGATTTACGCGCGTTGGAGAGGTGGAATTCGATAATAAATCTGATAAAGTGGAATAGCATAAGCCTTGTTTTTTATATTAGAGGTATTGTTTTGAATTTGCAAAGTGGATTAATTGAAAAATGCACTGCACGATTCTCATCGAATTTGTTTTTGTTTTGATAACAGGGCTGCAGGCAGGCGTGTAGTGTCTAACATCCGTACACGGAGGAAAAGTGGTGGGTGAAAAATCCGTACAATTTCCGTACGCTCAAATTTGTTTGGCGAGCAAAAAAAAATCAATTGTTCCTACAATTCTCTGTTCTTTACTACAAAAATCCTTTTATAATGCATAAATAATCGATCTTTTAAAAAGAAGAAAAAACTTACCAAGAGTAGTTGTGTTTGTTTAAAAAATTATTCAGTAACTCGCCAGCAACTCTCCAGTAACTTAATTTCTGCGAATTCGCTCTCGAAGAAAAAATATCCAAAAAAGTACGTGAACGCAAATCCAGTTATAATTATCAAGTTTCATGAACAGCTGATAAATTGGTTCTTTATTCGCAGCAAATTCCTAATAAAACAATATATTTTATATTTAAATTGGTTTATTTGGTCAATTTCAATAATAAAACGCAAAAACAATTTCCTTATTAGTTTATTGCATCCAGCAAGTTACAAGTAAAAATTTATCCATTAAAAGTGCAGTAAAAACTTTGAACTTCAGCTGTTTCGCTCTCTCAATAAGTTTTTGCGTACGAAAACGCCACAACATGAAAATTCGTACCAATTTTTCTGGATATAACTAGAAATGGGTAAACCTAACACACCTATTCTTTATTATCTTTAAATAATTCTTTAATACATACTTTTTAAAAATAGTATTCAAAAGGGCGTTAAAATGGTCCTAAAATGTTCCCTTCTTTTACTACTACATTTATATGCATTGCCGAAATGGGGCTACCAAAAAAGTGAGGTTATGTAACTGACATCACCTTGTTTATTCCACCATGACCGTGCCCATGAACCAATTAGAACAGATCTGACCGATTGAGAAGCGGCCATTTGTAATAGCAATTGAGAAAAAAGTGTGTTACGTTCGTAATTTTGAAGTTTGCTATTTTTGTTTTGCTTCTTTCTTTATGTGTATTTTGTCGGTTGTTTATGTCAGTGATTTTTAAGCGATTTTCAATAAATTTTGTGTGCAAATGAAATTAAAATGAAGTGCGCGGTGATTGGTTGCAAAAACGCGTACAAAGATAATAAATTGACTAGCACAAACATGTGCTACAAAATTGTTTGCATTTTTAGTTGCGTTCCAGATACCTTCGTGTAAAAACCTGTAAAACTGTCAAATAACAAAATTACTCTCTTGAAAGAGAGCGAAACAATAAAGGTCACCTGGAACCGGAAAAACCACTTTTCCTGTGACTACTTCGATTTTTTTTTTATGTAAAGTGCCATGGAGACGATCAAATATCTTTATCAACCGTCTCGCGTTATGCTTGACAAAAAACAAGCGCACTTGCCTTCTGATCGTCGTGGTGAGCAAGTGCGCGGACAAGAAAAATCAATTTGTTTAATTGACGAGTTTATTTGAACGTTTGCGGGCCAAGCTCATACATATGCAATGCTTGACGTATTTGTTTGATTGTCTCCGTGGCGCTTAAGGTTCTGTTTTGTTTACAAATGCAACCCTGCCTATAGTTTGACACTTTTCATTAACTTGCAGGAAGAAAGACTTCGGACTAAAACCTGCAACTTCTGACTGAGAGAGAGAGGAAGTTACTCTCACAAAAGTGGTTTGACTTACAAGGTTTTTGGCACCTGGAACGCTTTCCTGCATAAAAAAACTGCAAATCGTGAATATCGTGAGCACCTGGAACGCAACTATTTGTTTGTTTACTTTTCAAAGAAAATAACGTGGCGCCGAAATTACAAACGCCAACCAGAAAAATATTTTTTTTTTGCTTCATCTTGTCAGATCTTGTGTAGTTGGATCACTGGCCGTCTATATAGGATAAAATTTATTGCTGTCCAACTGTCATTGTAGTCGCTAGATATAAATTATATCAGTGGCAATATTTGTGTGGGCTTTTTATATCTTGATATAAGCATCTGTGAGATAGCTTCTAAAACGTATTTTTGCCGGATTTAATCACTTAAAAAATTTAGAAAATAGGCTATTTTACATCCAATTACATAATAACAAATATTTTAACAGAAAACAGTTCAATATTTGCTTTTATATTAAAATAATAATGATGTTGTAGCCACGAAGTTTTCGTGCAAATGAAAATGTAGCTGTCAAACTACCAAATTGCCGGCAATAGATGGCAAGATATAAGCTCTGATATATATTGCTCTCGAAGAGCAATGAGCGGTCTCCATTGGCAAATTATATTCTGACATATGTATCAAGATATAACCTTTATCCTGTGGAGACGGCCAGTCATGTATACGACCCGTGTGCAGACTGCCTAAAGCTGAAATTAGTCAAGAACGCAGAACGTATACTTAAACGCAGTCTGTATATACGTGAATTTTGTCGATTAATGGAGCCCCTAAGCTGAAATTAGTCAAGGACGTAAACCTATCGGTACGTAAACCTGAGTCAGCTGATACGATCTGTCTTACCAAAGCGCCATATAAATGAAAACTCAACACTGCAGAATTTTTCTGTAGTTTTAGCCCGTAGCGCAGAAATCTGCGGAATTTAGATTTTTTCGTTTCGGCTGATTTCTTCCTTCTATAGATGATTGCGAACGTTCACGCTCACGCTCACATTGAACTGTATATCAAGCTTTAAGCTGATGCCACATAAAACTTTTGCTTCGCTTTACGTGACAGATTCGCTTTGACAGATAAGATAAATTGTATGAAAATACACAAAGCATGCCACATAAATCGTTGAAGCTGGCAGCAATGGCGAATTTTGGAATGCAATTTGAATTTTTTGCTTCTTTGGAAGTATTTACATATATTTTGGGGGCAATATGGCAATTTATTATTTGCTTGCATCATTGTTTTTTTTCTAAAACTTACCGTTTGAATTTTTGTGGAAATTTAGTTTTTTTCTGAAACTTTTCGTTTGAATTTTTGTGGAAAAATACTATATAATTAATTTGTGAATAAAAAATTAATAATGCCTAAGCCAAGCTGTGTAATTTGCATAAAAACGTGGACTTACGTTTGTTTCATTCACCAGCGGAGCAGGTTAGGCTGAATAAGTTGGATATTTCAAATATTTAATGGCAAATTAATTTTTTGTATCACCAACGTCTACGAAACAGACGTTCCTATAAATTTGAAAAGCTATTTTTAAGTGCAGTACAAATTATTTAAATAAGCGCTTGAAAGGCAAAGGTTATAATCGATTAATCTTTATAAACCTCCCGTATATACCTATTCAAATTTATTTATTTAAACCTTATAACCACTAACATCACGTGTTGCGGTTTTGTATTCACGTTGCTGATTTCATGTATCTAATTTCATCTCTATAAAATTATCAAATTGCAAATTATTAGCAATACACAAACAAAATACACGCATTTGCATTTGTCATGCATGGTGTAATGAACTGGTGTATTCTATCGTTCTTGTTTGTCATGGCTTGGCAAACTTGCAATACCGAAAATCCATAGCATAAAAATGCTCTGCATTGCATTCATAAACAAAACCAAAGCTGATGCACAAAAATTGTTTTGTAAAAGCTTTACCATGACAGTTTAATAAAGGTCGCTCACAATCATGAACCAAAAATACAAGATCACGTAAGAACGCAACGTTGTATTTGTAACTGGTTTTGAGAAAAAGTTTGCGAAAGCGGGT